GATCATTCCCAGGCATCCAACAGCAGTGAAAGCGCTGCCTACGGCACCGAAAGCAACTAGCCCCAGTGAGTTGTGCCATGCGTGCAACAGGGCGCTCACACCCACATATAGCAGCGTCACACCGGAAGAGGAACACACGGTGAATAGTAGCAGGCCAACGAATGTGAATACGTCCTAACCCACCCAATTACGGTCATAGGCCCCCTGGTGATGAAAATAGTCCGCACCGTACCACCACGCAAAACCCACCGATGCAATTCCCAAGCTCACAACTCCCCCAGCTGCCAAACCCAGCGGGACAAGCTGGTGTTCTTTCCAATACTGAGATTGCGGCAAAAAGGGGGTGTGGACACTCATTCTCTGTGGTGCTCCTTGTAGAACTAAGCGTACGCGTATATGCTTTATCGCTTTTCTATCATCAATGGGTGACCCAATAAGCAAAAACAGCATCAGGGGGGAGAAGAAAAGCGCAAATATCTACAATTCAGTAAGCTCAGCTCAAATGATAACGTAAGCGTTAAATAATGTCCTCCATAAATTCCCAGCTGCAAAAAAAAATGATCCTGTAAATAAAGAAGACTTGAAAATAGATAATGTGCATATTCAGATAAAAAGCTGTCACTTCCACTCTCACTATTCATGGCAGCCCACAGCAACAGATGTCAAAGGCAACAGCCACCACCACCACCGCCGCCGCCGTAGCTGTGTTGCACACACCCGTTGACGAATACTGCTGCCATCTGCCGTGCGAAGCAAAGTGTTAGATGTGCCGCTCTTCGCTTGCGGCGCAGTGGCATGCGGCAGATTCACTTCAAGGGCCAGGGCCAGCAGTGAGCCGGGACGTTACTCCATCGCCAAGATGTGCCGTCCGGCTCGCCGCCGCCCTCACGGATGTCTGCGTCCCCTGCCTTTCTGTGGCTCCCTTCCCAGCCTTCCGCGGGGATGACTCCACCCGGCACGCTGAAGCTGGTAATTGCTTCAACCACCTCGTCACCCGCAGAATAGAAATCCCCACACCTTTCGACGGCCAACGCAGAAAACTCCGCACCACAGATCGCCGCATTGCACGGATGGTAGACCCCTCCCCTGCTATCAAGCACACTCAGCAAAGCCTTTAAAAAAAACAACAACTTTCCTTCACCTTCACCGTCACCTCGGAAGCCGCCGTGCATGCAGCTGCGCAGAATAACGTGAGGGCCAACGCGTCAAACAGCACATGGGGCACAGACCTTATTCGTGTCGCTTTGGAGTCTCCTTAGTGTGTGTGTGCGTGTGCGGTTTCACTGGTCTGCGTGGGGATGGAAAGGAAGGGAGGAAGAGTAGGAAGTAGGAACTAGAACTATCAGGACAGTGATCGTAGCTGCACAAGATACAATGTTCTCGTTTCGAAAGAGAGATGTATTTTGTGAACAGAAAATATTTGATTTTATTTTTTTCTTTCTTTTTTTTTCTTTTATGTTGTAGTCGCAAGATTGATCTAATCTAAGGTGATAAAACGGGGCTAAGGTCGCCCTACATAAAGCCTTGGCGGAGGTCTTGTACTTCATGCCTCATGTTCATTGCGTAGGTCGCCGCCGTCGGTAAACGGCGGATCAGTGGTGGGAAGGTGTTACTGCTCTTGTTTTTCTGTCTGCGTGGGTTTCTCCGCGAAGCGCAACCGCTGCTCCCACTCCAGCAGGCACTTTTCCTTGCGCGAGATCTCCTCTAGTCGTTCTTGGCACGCAGCATGCTGCATTTGCACAAGGGCGTGGAACTCCTCCTCACGCTCAGTGAGTTCACGTTCCTTCCGTAACGCCTCCTGGCGCCACATCAACACGCTGTCGGCGTGACAACACTGATTGCTTATGGTGTCATGGAGAACACTTCTGCCATCATTGACTGACCCCAGGCAGCCAAAAAGACTTTCGTGCGGCGAACCGGGCGGAGAAGCTGCCTGTGGTAAAGGAGACGATACCGATCTCAGAGCCGCAGAATGGGAGGGGCTCACGAAGGCGGCTGTAAACCCCAGCGGTGGTGGTGGAGCCTCTCGCCGGGGTGGTGGCGTTCGGCCTCCTTCTAATGCCTGCTGATGCCCCCGTGGGGAAGAGGGGAGAGATGGCTCTTGCTGGCGCCATCGACGTTGCTGCGGGTCCCAGTCGATGTGACGCAGCATTGGCTCTCCCCCAGCGCAACAGCTACTGATAGAACTGCAAACACGTCCACCACTTCCTTTGTGTGGAAGCGGAGCCGTGTGCGTAAACAATGTCTTTTATCAACCGCCAACAAACTGAAACCACAAAGGCCATGGGAAAGCGAAAAAAAAAAAAACACGCACGCATATGGAGAGAAAGCGAGGAGGAGAATAAAAACAAACTCGCACGTGCGACGACTGCAGAGCATATTCGCAAAGGTCCGCTGCGGCTACTCACCCGCAGCGTCTTTACTGCGACCAGAAAGAAGCAGCAAACGAAACAAAACGAGCAAAAGGGGCGTATCACCCTCAACGGATGTCTCACTGGTCCGCTGCTGTAGTGGCAACCAGCCCTGCATTCCGGCAACGCAGAAGGCAAAAACAAACCCTCACTCTTACTTCACACGACGCAGCACCAACGTCGCGCATGGGACATCTATTCGGTCGTAGCACCACGACGCGTTGCGAGCCTTTTGCCGCCCACGCGCCTCGTCAGCTGTAATGCCAACAGACGGGTGTTTCAAGAGACTCGCCACCTCAACCCCCGTTGAGGGAGCTCCTGTATCCGCAGCGGAACGCTGTTCGCTAACAACGCCTTTGACGCCACCACCCATGTCATTGATCATGCTGTAATTTCCTTTCGTTGTCGATTCATCATTTCTCTCGCACAGTTGCACCACCACACGATTGCTGGACGGTGTTTCAAAGACATTCCCCTCGTGCGACTCAGACCACGACCCTTCAAACTCCATCTCACCGTATGCTTGTGTGCGGATGACAACAATTGGATGCGCTGTCTCCAGTGTGTTGTTCCTAAACATAAGCCCACCCGCAGAGAGCCGCGGCCGGCCCCGTTCATCCCATTCATCGGCAGCCGAAGCAGTGTCGTGAGGAGCGGCCTCCTCGCATATGTGCGCATCCCTAAAAAAGTCCAAACAAGGAAGTCGGACAAGAACAGTGTGGGTCTCCTCAACCGTTTCCACCTCCTCCACAAACGACGTCGCATCATCCGTCAGTCTCTGACGCCCCAGCGGGTTTTCATCGTCCACAGCGAAGGGTCGCTCTCGCTTCATTTCGGAGAAGTCACAGCACACCTCCCGTCCTCCTTTTTATTGTCGCTGTCGCTGTTGGTGTTGGTGTTGAAAGAAAAGAAAAGAAAAAAGAACAAGTTCCTGCTCCTCCACCAGAAGCCTGCATCAGTCAATCCCCCACACACAAGGCAAGGTCTATCTTCCAAGTCGTCTTCGATGATTCTTTTATGGGACAATGTTCGTGAATTATTGAAGTCGAAAGACAGTGGCGCAATTGTCGTAAACACGCCTCATGACCTCTTCCTCTGTGATTTCCTGCAATGTCACATCTGCAGTCTCCTGACCAAAATCATGCAGTGCGCCCACGTACGCCTCGAGCACCTGCCGCAGATGGCAGGGCTCATTGCGACGCTCATGACACAGCGTTGCCACATATGGCCCTCCCTTGCGATTCGTCGCAAAGTGCGTTCGCACAAACTTCGCCCCGTAATGCTGCTTTCGAATATCACACCAAGGTGCATCTGTCTCTAGCATAACTCGCCCCAGTGGAAGACGACAAATCTGCTCCGCAGTGCTCTTCTCCCTGAAGGCGCTTCCATTGATACTAAAGTAGATGCCAGGCATTACCAGCAGACGCTGCTGTTCCTCGAGGGGGCCGTTGAAGCTATGTACCACACCGAGAAACGGAGTATCAACAGGCCAAGACAGCTGCTCCTCCTCGAGGAGGCGCACAAAGTCCGTACCACAGTCGCGTGAATGAAAAATAAACGGCAGCCCCAGCAATCGAAAAGCACGGAGCTGTTGAACAAAGTACTTTTGCTGAACGTCTCGCGGACAGTGTGCGAGTTCGGCGTAGTCAAGGCCAATTTCTCCCACAGCCACAACGACATCCCGGTTTGCCTCAATCAACTCCACAAGTTTGCTCAATCGCTCCTCCGTGCACTTGCCCGCTTCTGCGGCATCGGTGGAAGGAGGAGGGGGTTGCGGTATCTGAATCGAGGCCTCATCACCAGCAGCCTTCTCGATACTCGCCCAGTCTATTGGCTGCATCAGCTCAGCAGAATGGGCGGGGTGAATCCCAATGGTGCAGCGCAGCTGTAAAGGGTAACGACGGCAAAGGCGTATGGCCTTCACGCATTGCACGAGACTTGTGCCGGTGATAACCATCTGCTTCACGTTCTGCTCCTCCGCCCGCCGAAGGACCTCCTCAAAGTCGTTTGCGTGAACTCGGCGCCCCTTCCAGTCAACACCGTAAAAAACACAGTCAGTGAGATTCAGCGCAGCATCGATAAGGTACGGTCCCCCGGATGCTTTCCTCATTTTGTCTTCGCCTCCCTTCGTGTCTCCAAGCACGCAGCAGCAAAAGCAAAACCAAAAAAGTGAGAGAAACACACACACACAAAAAAAAAAAAAACGAAACCACCACTTGACAAAAGCAGCAGATACATATTTGACGGTGACAACGGCTGTTGAGAAAAGCTACTCGCGTGCACCTACTTTTTGTCTCTCTTTATCTCTCTTTCATGGAGATAAATTCACATTTTACCCTCCCCTTGCCTTCCTTCGCCAGCGTCGCCCCTCTTACTTGAGGAGGTCGGCGAGGTTAGCAACCTCCACCTTTTCATCTGTCAGAGAAAGCCGCGGTGGCTTCAATGGAGCCCTCACTTTTGCGGCCGCCGCATTGATCTCGCGCCTAGCACGGCGTTCCTCTCGCTTGTTTTGTTTTTCAGCCTCTCGCCGCATTTGCTCTGCCTTTACGCGCCGCTGTTGCGCACTCTTGCGGAAGAAACTGCCCCGTTTGTCAAGTTCGGCCATTGAGCGATCCAGTGCACCGAGAAAGGACGGTGCTTGGGACCAACCAACGGTGGGAACGTCATCGGCTCCACGCTGCTGATGCGCCACGCACTCGTTCCACAGCGAGAGCATGGTGTCGCGTGTCTCCGTATCCAGCTCCTTCTGTCGCGCCTTCAAAATGAAGCGCACAACAAAGGACGGGCAGTCACCAAACTCATCAAGAAGATCCTTCTGCACAAGAAAGTTAAAATCTACCGGTTTCTTTACACTAAGAAGGTGCATGATCAACTCCAGCACACGCCGTGCGGCATTTACCAGCTTTCCATTGCCCTCTTTCACACGTTCACCCCACATTTTCATGGCAAGCACAGTGTCGCGACTAAAGCAGTCCACAAACCCATTCCAGTCCTCCACAGATCGAGTACTTTGGTGGCGTATAACTTCTCCAAGAAACTCCATAAGTGTGGTAAGATATTTGTGCACATATCGCGTCAACATACTTCGCACAGCCATGCGCATCCGTGACTCCTCGAGTGCCTTAGTAAACTCCTCATCGATAAAGTCACCTATGGTGTCAATGATTACCTCCGTCGGGTTGGCATTGCTGTCGTACCATTCCTTGGAGCGAAAGACGAGGTTCCACTGCGCATTTACCACCCGCTCAACATGTAGCACAATCTCGTCTACATAGAACAAGACGTGCTCGGAAATCAAGTCTTGTGTTTGCTGAAACGGCGAGGAATGCTCACCACCTTCCTCTTCGTCCCAATAAGAGGCAAATTTGAGCTCAATCGTGTCCATATTACGCTCAATCGTTGAACAGTCATTGCAGAAAGCGTAGAGAAACACCAATCGATGCATCGTCCATTCCTCAACTGGAATCCCTGCGGTATCATTTTCCTCCTCCCAGTAGTCGTAATCGCTGTGCATCTTGCATTCTTCAAGGTACGCTTTAATCGCCTCCGCGCAGGCGACACCTATCTTGCGCATTACAGGCACCTCGATGGCAGTAGAAAGACCTCCTAGAGATTGCTGCAGCACCGCAAACATGTCCACAGGACCTGCCGTCACAGGTAAGCCGTTCGGAAGCGTTAGTGGTTCACTTCGTCCGTCCCTGATTGACATGGCACATGCACGACAAAGTCGAACAAGATGCGCAGAAAGGCCCTCAATGGCGGATGTCATCATTGCTGCGGAAAGGCTATCAATGGCGTCAAGTTCAATGTACGCTGCGTAGTTCGCTTCCGTCATGGCTGCTTTGTACCACTGTATGAAGTGCAAGGCCTCAAGAAGACCCGTCGCCTCAACTTCGACGGCGGGATCGACGTATCCCTGCAGAACACCCATCACCTCACTGTGAATGGCACCCACAACGGTGGCAAAAAATGAAAGCTTTGTCGAAAGCGGAATAAGTGACATTTCCAGCGCACCAAGCAATGGTGCCACCTTTTTCATCTGTTCAAGATACGTGGAGATTTGTCCAAAAGGATCCACAACATCCACCATAACCTGCTCTTCCCATAGTCGAGTTACACACTTGCGGACAGCACGGTACACTTTCTCCTCTGTAATGAGTGGTTCACCGTCAACGGTGCATAAGACACCAGTACTAACCCCACCTTCTCCGCCTCCAATTTCTTCCCCGCAGACTTGAACACACTCCTCCAGCTGCGTAAATTCTGGAAACGTTTCTGCGACGGTGCCAGCACCCGGGATATCTTCAAGCGCCATTTGAATCGCCACATGCACGGAGCTTTCCTCCAATAGTTTGTACACCTCCGACACAAATACGGTTTGTACCGCATCTAGTTTTTCAAAGTAGGGTTCAAATGCACTATGGTACTTACTACTTGTCTTTTCAGATACTGTCTGTCGAATCAATTGTAAACGGCGTAGATGCTTATATACTGCTGCAAACCGTCGTTGCTCTACAAGAGCATAAAAATTTGTGTATTGCACCTCTTTTAGTGCCTCGGCCCACTGTATAACGGACAATATGTTTTCGCGTAGGAAGTGCAGTTGTCGCAACTGTGTGTAGCTCCCTGAGGTCACTTCCATTCCTGTAATGAGGTCACCCTGTTTCATGAACAGCTTGCGTAGGTCTTGAATGCGCTCGCCACACTCCCTCACAATTTGCACCGCGCGATGCCCCTCCAGCATCTGCGACGAAGCCATGGAATTGATGGCGCGACGAAGCTCCTTCGCCTCATTGGCGCAGGAACGCACAAGATGTGGGACGGTAACCTCCAAATTCTCGTGGTGCACCAGTTCGTTGTTTATCGCCGCCACAACCTCCTTGCTGAGATTCGAACGGTCCTCCACGCTGAGGTACGGGAACAGCTCCGCAGAAGTGTACAACTGCGAGTCGTCAATATCCTCCGCTGCACCACCAACCCCCTGCGAATTTCGCGAAGGAGGGATTCCTCCTCGCTTTTGCATCCGCCGCCCCGCCGCCCTTTTTTCCTTGTCGTTTGTTGGGCTAGTGAGCAGCAGCATAGCAGCAGAACGCCATGAATGCATTTGTCCATGCGAGTAATAAGAAAGATAAAAATAAAAAAAGAAACGGCGCAGCCACAATTTCCCAACGCGGCAAGAGCACAGCAGAAAGGCTGGGAAACCAAAAAAACAAAAAGAAAACAAAAACCAAAACAAAAGAAGAAAACTTCACACGCACACATAATACAAAAAAAAAGGAAAAGGGAAAGGGAAAAATTCAGTGTGATTGCACTTCCAAAAAAGAGAAGTTTGGAAGGATCAATAAATAAGTACGCCGCGCCATGCCTCCATTCCATAGTATCCACTTTCCGCTCGCGTCAACCTTCCTAGATGTATCCCTCACGCGGTGAGGAAGACAAGGGCTGTCAGTGAAGTTATATGTGCGTGTATGTAAAAAGTAAAAATAAAACGCACACACACAAAAAAAAAAAGGTGTTACTCATTGTTTTATTTTCTTTCTTTATTTTTATTTTTTCTTCTTGCTTCGGTCACCTTCCCAAACGCTGTCGTCGCCGCCTCATTTCCGCTGACCAGCTGTGCGTCGTCGTTTCTCGTATGCCTCCACGAGTGCATCTACCCTTTCATCCAGTGGCAAGCTCTTCACATCGTGTTTTCGTGCCTCAATGGCCTCCGTGGTGTATGGCATCAGCTCATACTTCATATGCTGCAGTGAATCTACTTCCCGGGCATAGTCCGAAATGCTGAACCCGTGCTGTTCATCCATCTTCCTCGTCTCATCAATCAAGGTGTTGATGACCCGCACAACAGAGGCCAAATTATACGAATTGTGAGCCCCTAGCATCGCCTTACCGCCAAAGTAACCACCCGCCAGCGAAATCCAACTCGCATAGGTGCGAAAAAAGGGAACCCGACCCCCAATAGAAAGGCAAGCAGCCATCGTTGCCATCATGGCCCCGCCCATATAGCCGTAAGTCCAGTAATTGCTGCCCGCCACGCTTTGGTATCGATCCATTGCTTTTCGCACTAGACTGCGATTGTTTTCAATAAAAACATTCGCTGTCACTAAAGCCTGCTCATGTTTTTCCTCCAGTGTCTGTTGTGCGGGTGGTTTCTGAATCGTGAATTGGTTAGTCCACATTCTGACTGTCTTTCAACGATTAAAGGTGTCAGTTCTTTCTACTATATCTTTTCTGTGCTTCTGTATATGGGGAGTGATGTGTCTCCAGAGATACCACACTTTCCCTCTCCCCCAACGGAGGCCAAAAACCAAAACAAAAAAAAAACAACTCAGCCCGTGAGAGATTCAAGGAAAGGTCAAGAGCAATAATAATAAAACAAAAGTACACATCCGCACATATGTTATGCACAGATACTTGTATCCATTTATGCGTGTGCAAATTTGAGCCTGCATGAAATCTTGTGTGGCCACAGAATCACGCCGCCCTCAATGTCACTTCCCGAGACTTCCACGGGAGGGAACGGTATGGCACTTGTGGGTGATCTGGCGTGTACACGCCAAGACCGCGCCAGTCATGATGCAGCGCCCCACGACTGAATCCAGGCGCCAGATGCCGTGCAGTCGTATGATACCTGTCAAACATTGCCTTATCACGACGGTACACAAACCTGGCTCGTATCGGATTGTAGTGGTACAAGGTGCATTTGCGATCACGCACTGCCGTTCGTAATTTAACGTTCCGCGTCACAAGCCTTAACTCCTTGCTGTACAGTGCACTCAGCAGCGGTGCATCCTTGTCGTACAATGAACGAGACGAGACAAGAAGGTTATGTCTACCCTTGAGGAATCGGTAGGGCGTGCGTGCGGTGCAGTCACTGTGCATCAGCGTGTGCACCTTCACCAGCGGCATCTCTCTGGCGAAGAAGGCAGCGATGGTCCAAAGGATGAGATCCTCGTCGCAGTAGGTCCCCGCATCGTGAAGACGAAGTTCCTCACTAAATGGCAGCAGCACAACTCGGCCCTTTTCAACTTCGTATGCAATAATTTCCAGTGCCCGCTCGCAAGTCTCCCGTTCCTTTGGCTTGGCACTTGTGGCCGCCTTCACCGACAGTTCACGGAGACAACTCAAAGAAACAATCAAGCTGTCCTTCCCGCTCGGAAGCCGCCGCACGGCAGAAACAAGCTGATCTGTTGAGGTTGACATCAGCGAAGAGTGCAACAAAAAGACAGAATCTATACTATTGAGATATTCCAGTTGCGACAGCATTGTCATCAAGGGACGTGAAAAGCGACAGGTGGGATGGGGTGACACATAGTGAGGTATGGAAGTGACAGAGGCTGCCGTGTGTGCGTCCATAGAGTGCAACTTGGTAGTGTTAGCGGCGACCAACTGTGCCTGCACATCACGTAGTGAGCAGGGAATACGAGCAGAGATGCTTGACTGCTCGGTGCGTAGACGGTCCGCCACTAGAGCAAAGTGCTGAAAGGACCGCAAGATATGGTAGTCAAAATGGTTCCTCATTGCGAAATCCTGAGCAAGATCCTTATTTGTCATTGAAAGCAGCGTCTCCGAGCCACTTTCCAGCAGCGCCAAAAGCGCGGCGGTGTCATGATTGGCACTGGCCACGTCAATCGCCTTCTGCAACATGTCAAGTGTCTTTTCATTTAAGGCCGTCGCCTGCCCCCGCGAAAGGGCTGCAAAGAAATTAGGACCCCGCGGACAGCTACTGTCAGCCAAGAGAAGCTGCAACAATTCCTCACTGCTCGCATCCGCCATAACGGAGGTCAGATACATCCGTTCTACCGTCGCAAAGTCCTGCGCAGTCAAGTTCCTCTTCGCATAACTTCGCACGCGCTGCAAAAAATACTCCATAATGGAATTAAAGACACCACCAAGAGGTGCTCCGTTTGGCATCACCGCTGAAAAACCATTTAACAGGTCCACAAGCTGCTCATCTGTGCATAACTCCAGCAGGTGGGGAACCCCAACGTGCTCGTCACTGCGCACCAGATCCACCATGGCGTCAAAAATCTCCTCACCAGTTCCCCAAAACGCCGTTGTTTGGTTCACCCCGCGTGGGTGCTTGTAGTCCGCACGGTTGGATGATGCGTGGTTCGAGAACGTAAACCATTTATTGGGTTCAAAAACCTTAATCAGGGCCATAAAATGGAGCAGTTGAATGGTCAACGCAGGACAACGGGAAAGACGTCCTGGCTGCTCATGCAGAAACGTAACGGTAGCCGCATTCATCAAGTTCACGTAGGCAGTCACAAGGGCATTGCTGACCCCGTATGGACGACCAAACTTTTTAACTGTAGTAACAAGAAAGTTCAGTCCCCTGCCGTCGTAAGCAAATGGACTGCTCACCTCCTCAAACATACGTATCAGCTCTGCATCGCTGCGAATCGCAATTGTAGAGGCCATATCAGCCAACGCGGCACAGCGAGCCTCCACGTGTGGGCGCCGTACAAATTGCAACAGAAGATCCTCAAGCGACCGGTTACACTCCAGCCTGTCGCTCAAAGGGTAATGGCGGGAAACTGTGTACCCACCCAAGGTATCTTCGTCTTCACCTGTCTCAGTGGCACCCAAAGAGGAAGAAGCATCATGAGACGAAGAAGCCAGCATGGACCCTTCCTCTTTCAATCGCAGGTGCGTCTGATCCATCGCGTCTTCGCTATCTCGTAAAGCCGCCTCCATGAGTGCCGCGCCTCGCTGTTGTTGTCGCTCTTTTGCCTTCTCAATGTCAGGAATGTTGCGCAACCGTACAGGGCCGTAACCCAAATCCTCATCATACTTGGGCAGCGGGAATGGTGTGAACTTCTCCTCAAGTGGCTTTGGTTGCATACTATTCGGGAGCCGCTTGTACCGGACAGGACGGCGCCCCACCTCGCCTGCAGCTGCGTCAAACCGAAGATGCAACAGCACACTGGAGCCTACAGCAAGGCGACGAAGCATCGACACAATATCGTATTATTTGCCCTTCTCTCCCTTGTCGTTCTTCTCGTGACGTTTTTTGCTCCTTGCCGCCCTGCAGTTACACGGTGTGTTACCGTCCCTCCCTGCTGTCGATCGCCACCCACGCCAGCCACTACTGTGGGAGAAAGTGGCAAGATAATATATAGCAAAAGAGAGATATAGACTTGCCGGACGCCTAAAAACTCCCCTTTGCATAAAGGAGGCATTCACAAACATGTAAAAACAGGAACAACAAACATAAAAAGAAGAATGTATAATGGTCAAAAAAAAAAGTCATAAACAATGAAGAGCCCCATAAACAACAGAAAGGAAAAAGAAATATGTGGAACTGCGTGTAGTTCAGTCAAAATAACGGACAAAGAGACATAAGCAACGTGGAGCGCAATGACATTTTACAGTCAACTCCCCACCCCTCACAAGCGCAAACGCAAATTGAGAGAGATAAAAAAATATATACGTAGACACGTGTATAGCATAGGAGAGAGATACATGGTATCCACGTCTGCTAGAGGCGAATATATAACACAGTAAGAAGAAACAGCACCAGCACCGCCGAAACACGACCCAGCAAGTGTGAAGAAAAGCGCTCCTTTCCAGCGCCAGTGGTTTCTTTAACCTTTTCCAGCATAGTTCCCTCAATCCACGGCTGTGATGCGTATCCTCGTGTTGGATCTCCCTGCTGATGCCGCGATGCGTCCTCGTACTTTTTTTCATGTTTCTTCCTCCCGTCCGTCGCCGATCGCTTCCTGCCCGCCACACCTTCGCTGGGGTAGGTTCGATGGACAAGAGCTTCCTGCTTATTATCATCCAGCCATTGCAGTTCTTCCTTGATCATCCTTGCCAGGTTCATTTTGTAGGCCACGTGCTCCTCCAGCAAAAATTTGATATCGTCCACCGGCCCTGGATAAAACATAAGGGAATGCAGTTGCTTCACGCTCGCATCACGCACCTCGGTCATTTCCTCCAACGCCATTGTTGCCTTCTCCAGAACATCGCCGGGCGTTTGTTTAAACGGTTTCATGAGTTCATTCAACTCATTTGCTTTTTCAAGCAACTGTTCCGTCAAACTCGCGGCAACTATCAGATTTTGTTCGTTATAGTAAGTGACAACGCGGGACACCCACTGAATCCGCCTCTCCGCAACGTGTAAAAGGAAAATAAACATAACCATAAAGAATATAAACACGAGCAGCCCCGTGAAGCTACGTCCCCGCCTTGATAAATTCACAAATCCTGAAAACAAATCCTTTACCGCCCCTGCCGCCGTTGTTCCCATCTGGAGTACATTAAAAACCGGTGTTAATCTGCTTCCCGCGTCTTCACCTTCCGCGAGAGACAATGTGCCTTCTTCCTGGGCGTCCTCCCGTTTTTCTTCCTTCATCTCCTCCCTTGATCCAAACTCCTTGTTTTCCGCGCTGGGTGCGCGCACGTACAACGTCATGGCAGCCCCCTTCCTTCGGCTGTGCGCGTTAGAAAAGTTGCTACGCACAACGGCTGTCGAGGTTAGCGGCAGAGCAGCCGCGCTCTGACAGGTGTTTGACAGCATCGCCCTGCCCCATGTCGATTCGAGTGGGGAGACGTGGGAGGAATCTCGCAACGCAATGGAGGCAGTTGCCTGTGATGCTATAGGGGGCGCAGTGACGCAGCTGTCAGACCCGGGTGGAATGGACTGCTCAGCACGCTCACTCATCGCGAGCCCTTGTGCAACCACAATATGCCTTCTTCTTGTAATTATTTAGATGTATATATCTGTGTTTGTGTCGGACAGTTTCTGTCTCCCTATCCCTCCTCTATCTCACTCTATTTCTATCTTCCTCTTCTTCCCGCCTGCAGAAAAGTTCCCAGACGCCAAAATAGACACAACAGAAAAACCAATGTAGTTTGAAAAGAATAAGACGCACTTGCACCGTATATGCAGTGGCCAAAATATGTAGAGAAGCCTCCGTCAGAAGGCTCACTTTATTTTTAATCCCTTTCAACTTACACCACCCACACCCACGAACTACGAAAGAAAGGAAGAGAAGGACTCATATAACAAAGTACAGTCAACCGTCATAATACGCATCATCGCCATCATAGAAGTAATGGGGGAACGTTCATTACATTCGCCTTAAGAGAGGAAGAAAGAAAGAAGAAAATAAACACAACCCACGCCATAGACTCTGTGTAAGTACACAACAACAAATAAATACAAGCAAAAGCGAGTCGATAAGTATGTGGAAACAATACCAAGCTTAAAATTCCTTCGCAACAGGTCAAAAATAAAATAAATCAGTTAAGTTCAATGCGTTTCTTTAATTGCTCAGACAAATGCATGAGCCGAATATAGGTTGACGTAGGGTTGTAAAGCGTTAGAGCGGTGTATGGATTGACAGAGTCTTCAGACAAGACGGAGGATAAGAGTTCTGTGCGCTTCTCATGGATGTCAGCTGAGGGAAAAGATCCCTTCGAGTCCCCCGACAAGTTACGGTCCCGCATTTTTGTCCCATCCGTCATGGGAAAAGGATTGAGGAACACTCCTCCTTGGCAACGGTGTTCCGATGGCATTGGAAAGCTAAAACGGCGAAACGGTGTTGCGGCGCATGTTATCCATCAGCCGTTTGTGAAACGTCTCTGCTTCCTCGACACGCAACTCCTCCGCAATCGCGTGCTGATCTATTCATTCCAGCCTTGCCTGCGAATCCCGTTCAATGTAGCGCCGACGCCACTCTTCTGCATGCAACTGCTGCTTAGTTAGGTCCTGTGTAAGCTGTTTCTTCTCCTCCTCCAGCTTCCGCAGTGTTGCTCGGAATTGAACCATCACCTCCGTGTGCCGCTGAGCATCATTGGCGTGTGCCTCCCTCTCGCCCTGCAGTTGCCTTTCCAAGTCGTGCACCTGAGCGGCGTGTTGTCGCTGCAGTTCCCTAGTCTCTCGCAAGTGTTGATGCCGCAGCCGTTCAATATTCAACGTTAACTCATGAATGGTTCTCGTAGTCTCCTCTTGTAGCGCCAAGAAACGCTCTCGGTGTTGTTCCCGCTCCTCCTGCAGGAGCTTCTGGTGGTCTGTAAATGTATTCATTCGCGACGCCGTCATTTCGTCCAGTTCTCCCTGCAACACCCGCAGCTCGTCCATCTTTGCCTGCAAAGCCTGTTCTAGTAACGCACTAATCGGGTTGCCTTGAAGGCAGCTTAGTGGACCCGACCGCAACTCTGCATTCATGACAGCTACCTCCTTTTGGCACGCGGCAGGCATCTCCACAAATTTATCCTGGCGGCAAAGCTCAACCTTCTTCCAATTTTTGTCGGCCACTGCAATGGTGTGCGCCATCTGCTGCTTCAACGTATTCCCTTCCTCTCGGAGTCTTGCGAGCTCGTCTTGACAGGTCATCTCAAAGGAGTGTAAAAGTCGCTGCAACCTCTGCTCTGCCCCCAGTATCTGCTCCGGTGTGAGGTGGCCGGAGGACGTGTCCAACGGCATCAGAAAGGCGTGCGCCACGTTAACCACCTCCCGTTTTTTGCTGGTCAATGCTAAAAAAGGCATCCTCTAAGAAAAGAATGTGAGTGTGGAAATGCTGCACCATACGCGGGTGCTGCTCTATGAGAAGCATCGTTGCGGCATCCAGCACCACATCCTCTCGCCGATGA